GTTTGTGTCTCCTCAGACCCACATGTTGAATCCTATTGCCCTAAGTGGTGGCATCAGGAGGAAGGGCTGTGGCAGGGGATCAGATTATTTAGACAGAGTCCTCATGAATGGGACTAGTGCCTTTTGAGATACTAGAGAGACCTTCTGCCCCTTCTCCCATGTCAGAAAATAGCAAGAAGGCCTGTGTGTAACAGAAAAGGGCACTCGCTGGGCACTGACTCTGCCTTAATCTTGGACTGCCAGCCTCCAGATTGATGATGAATAAAATTCTGTTGCTTATAAACTCCCAGCTTTTAGAAGTTTTTTGCAGCAGCCCAAAAGGACTAAGACAAAAACTGCATGTGAAAAACTCCAGTGTTATACTATTGCATACTTAATTGAATGATAAAAAGGAGAAAAAATGAGGTAATACTGGGGTGTTCTTTCTTCCTTTGTAATTAGCTAAATATTTTTGTACATTAGCTGAATGTTGTTGTGAATCTGTTGATTAGATACTTTTCTTGTAGTGTTTGCTTTTTTACCCTTTTTGCTCTTTTTTATTAATGCTGTACAAATTAATGGATTTCATTTCGACAGATTTGTGCATGCATATAACACTGATCATTTTCACCCAACACTCCAGTTCTCCCCTTGCCTCACCTTCCCTCCTAGTTCCACTTTTTTTGGGGGGTTAATCAATGTCTATAAATCCCGTACAGCAGTGAGAATGCATGAATTCCAACTATATGAAATACCATAATGAAGCAGTAAAGCATAATGTTTAGTGAAAGAGATGAGGAGGTACACAGTACGTACTATATGATTTCAGTTCCATGAAGTTCAAAAACAAAAACACAAAATTAGAAGTCAAGATGGTAGTTTTGTCAGGGACAGTAGCTGGATGAGTGGAAGGGGACACAAGAGAGCCTCTAGGACTCCGTTAATATCTAGTTCATGCTCTGGTACTGGTATAATGGTACATATAGAAGGTGAAATTGGATTCCTTACCTCACATCATAGACAAAATTAACTCAAAATGGATCAAGGATGTAAATATAGGAGCTAACACTATAAATTCTTAAAAGAAAATATAGGCATAAATCTTCATGACTTTAGATTCAGCAGTGGTTTCTTAAATATGTCACAGAAATACAAGCACCAAAGAGAAAACATAGGTAAGTTGAAGTTCATCAAAACTGAAAACTTCTGTGCTTCCAAAGACAATCTACAGAACAGGAGAAAATATTTGCAAGTCATATATCTGCAAAGGATCTAATACCCAGAATATACAAAGAACTCATACAACTTAACAATGAAAAGAACCCAATTTAAAAATGGACAGAGTTGAATAGACATTCCCCGAGAAAAATAGACAAATGGTTAAGAAGCACATGAAAAAAGTCTCAGCATCACTCATCATTGAGGAAATGGAAAGAAATCACTGTAAGAGACCACACACAACACAATAGCTAAGATATAAAAGGCAGATAATGCAAACAATAAGTATTGGTGAGAATGTAGAGAAATTATAGCTCTCATACATTGCTGGTAGAAATATAAAATAGTTGGAAAATGGTTTTGCAATTCTTTAGAAAGTTTGGCATAGTTACCATGTTTTCTCTAACAATTCCACTTTAGATGTGTATAATTAAGAGAAAGGAAAGATAGGTTTACACAAATAAGTATACATGAATTTCATTGCAGCATGATTCATAGAGGCCAAAGAAATGGAGAGAGCCCATGGCAATTAACTGATGAATGAACTGATGAATTAACTGATGAATGAACAAACAAAATGTTATACATATAGCTGCACAATGGAATACTATTCAGCCAGTAAAGGGATGGAATACTAATATGTGCTACAGTGTCCTTGAAAACAATATTAAGTGAAAGAATCTAATGACAAAGGCTGTGGATTATGTGATTTTATTCACACGAAATATCCAGAAGAGGCAAACCCAAAGAAACAGAAAGTAGCTTAGTGGTACCAGGGGCTGGGAGGACAGCATAGAGGATGATATTAATAGACATTTTTTTCCTTGAGATGGGATGATGAAAATATTCTGTAATTAGAAAGTGGTAATGGTGCACCATTTTGTGGACATGTGATAAACTATTGAATTGCATGCTTCAAAAGATTGAATTTTGTGGTATGTAAATTATATCTTCATAAAATAATGTAGTATAAAAAGCATATAAAAATAAAATAATTATATATGTTTGGGGAAATCAAGTTAAATGATTCTCTTTAGAAACTATCTTTGTTATCTATCGCAAGAGCTCACTGGATTCCATTCTAAACACATCACATTGAGGAACATGAAACAGTGAATCAAGGAAGTGTGCACTGTGTTCTGCCCCCATTTCTCTCCTTGTAGTTCTCGCCTTTCCTGAATCTTGGCTGTCCATTTTTGCCTCATAGATCAGGGTTTCTGAGTGCATCACCTTAGTCCAGTTGTATCCAGATCTCTTTCAGTGACTTTGAAAAAACATTCTTTCCAGATCTACTGAAGCAGAAACTCTGGATCTGACTCAGCATTTTTAAGGTCCTCAGGTATATAAATAATACTATTGCCAATAAAAAAAATACCGACTTTTACATATGGAATACTTTTCTTAGGCATGTTCCAAATGCTTAACATGGACTAATCACTGAATCCTCAGTCTAATCTTTGACTAGGTACTATCATTATCTCCATTTTACAGATGACTAAACTGAGCTGTTGCAGGTGTAAGAAATGTCCATAAAGGCATATGACTAGTAAGTGTACACTGGGAGCAAAGGCAAGCAATCTAGCTTCAGACTGAAGCTCTCGGGCCCTGCACAACACTGCTTCTTTTCCCCAGTGATTCTTACCCTTCAATTTGAGGTTCATTCTTATGATTATTACTTAATACATTACTTGTAATACATTACTTAATACATTACTTGTAACCTATAGTTACCTTTGGTGTGGAAATTCATAAAAGCAAATTTTCTTAAAGGGAAGGCGGCAAAGTAAGTTGTGAAATTGTACAATTAGAAACTGGGACATTAAAGGCATAAGCCCTTGGGAGAGGTGCTGTACCTGATCCCTCCCATCCTTGCCCTTCTGGTTAAGTAGGCCTGATGATGCAAACCACCTGGAGAAAAGGCTGGACTGCTGCAGAGGAAACCTGGCCTGAATTCCATTCCAAAACCTAGCCCAACTTTTCCCTGTGATGTTCCTGCCTCACCAGGGCAAGGTGTCGTGTTTTTGGTACAGAATTTAATCAAGCCTGTTTGGAAGTTCCAGTCAACTTCTGGTTCTTACTGATAGCCAAGGCCTCTTTCGGGCTGGGGTCAGGTCCAACAGCTTCTACCTAGCCAGACTCAGTACGGTCTCAAGGGTCATAGTTGGGGTCACACCACATGGGTGCCTTCCAATGTGGCTCTCTTGGGGGACAAGCAACACTGACAAGAGCTTCATGTGGGATGGAAAGAGCTCCAACATGGGGATGAGAAGACACAGGTATAAGCTGCTCTGTCCCTGGAAGTGGGCACATTAGGCAAGTTCTGAAACCTCTAAAGGCTCAGATGCTCCAGCTGGAGAATAAACATAATTGTTCCCAGTCCACACCTTGGCAGGTGGCTAAGATGGCAACAGTAGAACAACTTCCTAATGCTAGTATCATCATTCTGAGCCACCACTCCTTAACTCTCTGTCTGGCCTTTCTTATCGATAAAGTGCTGGCACCGACTCACTTACTCAGCAAACTGTAACTGGATGAATGTGTGTCTAATTTTGTAGATAACATGCAGAGTTTCCAAGTGACTAATAGTTACCTCAAACTTAGTATTGTTGTAGCAAAACTCTTTCTCCTTGAAACTTGCCCACTCCATCTCCAGAACAGTATCAATATCCGTCCTGTTGCCCTAGCCCAAACCCAGGAGTCATTGTTAACTTCTCTCTTCCTTCTTTCAATCCATCAGCCAGGTCTTCGAAAATACTCCTGAGACCCTGTCCCACTGCATAACTCCCAGTCCTGACCATCCCTGTCACTGTCACTGAAGCATCCTCTAGGGGACTCTCTCCCTGCCCCTCTGAAGGACGCTTCTACACTTGACAATCAGGACAGATCATATCTGCTGCTGGGAAATCTGCAGTGGCTTCCCATGGCTCTTGAAAGAGGAGTCAGAGTTCTCACTCTCTCCTTGGGAGCTGTGTTCCAGCCTCACCAGCCAGCCTAGCTTCTCTCATCCAACAAGCCAAGCCTGTTTTCATCTCCAGCCCTGGCACAGCAGTTCCCCTGGCCTGATGCTCTTCACCCATAACAACATATGGCCTCTCATCACTTCAGCTTCTGTTCAAGTAGCACATTCACAGGGAAACTCTCTGGACCTTTGTCTGTTCTGGGTTCCCATGTTAGATCTGTTAAAATCTGCAGTTATCTTAATCGTGTGCTTACCTGCCAAGTACGTGTCATCCTTTCCACTCTAAGTTTCACAAGATCGACACTTTGTCTGGTTATAGCCAGTCAGTTCCTCATACTTGGCCCATTAGTGGCATTAAACATCGCCTAAAGGGACGAATTGATGTGACTTCTGCTGCACTGTTTCCATGCTATTTGACTGAAAAGGGTTTAAGGAGGTTTATACAGCTGAAGAGAAGATTTGTTTAATAAGAGCCAAGGAAATTAAGCTAAAAAAATAATAAAGCCAGCCTTGTGGTGTCCCAGGGCTCAGTCATGGGAATGCCTATATTCACACATGTGGATGGTCATCTCCTGCAGCACCTGCCTCCCCGCCAGTCAGCAGGTTGCTCTCCACCCAGGACTTCTGCCCAGAACTCAGGTTCAATCCTCTCCACATGACCCCCAGCAGGTCCCTTACACTTAAAATATCCAAATCTCCTGCCCTGCTTTCTCTTTCATGGGAGAGAGCATAGCTGAAGACTCTCTATCCTTCCACTCCTCCTTCTTTTACGCCTCACATTGCGTCTGTCAACAAACCCTGTGATCCAGGATTCGGCCCCCTCTCACCTGCTCCTCCTACCACTAGCCTCTGGGTTCCTGCAGTTGTTTTCTGTTGGTCTCCCGGCTTCTGCCTCTTATGTCTGTTCTCATCTCATTAACTGGAGTGATCCTTGTAAAGAACACCAGTCTCTCCTCAGAACCCTCTGCTGGTTTCTCATCTCATTCAGCATTAAGGTCAAAGTCCTGCAGAGATCTCCACGGCCCAGCAAGGTCTTGCTTTGGTTCATGTGTCTGACTCTATCTCTACCACACTTGCTTCACTTCAGCCAACCAGACCCCTGCTGCCGCCCCACATGCGAGGCCCACTCCTGCCTTGGGCGTGTGAGCTTGCTGTTCCTGATCTCCAGGTGTGTTGGCCACCGCGACCCACACAGGGCACTAGTCATCTCCTTCAGGCTTGGCTCCAGGGCACCGTCTTGCTAAGTAAGTCCTTTCTAGAGCTCTCTCTCTCTCTTTAAAGTCACCACTTTGAACTCTATTCCCCCTCTCCAATTTATTTTCTACTTTATATGTACATTATATATAAACTTATCATGTATTTATTTATACGTAGTCCCTTACTGGGCTATAAGCTTCCCGAGGGTAGGATTTTTTCTCTCTTATATTCAGGGCAGTGTCTACCAGTGTTTGGCACCTGTCAGGAATCCAGAAAATATGTGTTACATTAATTAAAGTGCGTGAAGCTGGGAACCGGGTAAAGCGTATACTGCGTCGTTTCTGTACCAGTGGATGCTGAGCCGCTTACTTGCACATTTGCTTTCTGATAGTCAGTGCATGCAGGCATGAAAGCAGCTTTCACTGCATGAGTACTGGTGCCCATGCATCAAATCAAATCAACTGCTTGGTTTGGGGAAAACATAGTGCTCCCAACAGTGAGATCAGAAAGGAGTTTCTGCCATGAGCCCTTCCAGAGAGGTAAGAATATTGGAGCCAGGTCCTTGATTGGGGCATCTGAGAACTGTGGTCAACAGGAAACGTATTTCATATTATATCCTCCACTGTGGCTCATGACTCCCACCAAAGCATGCATAGGTAAAAGCAATTGAATGTGGCCAGAAAACTGGCCCAGACATACAGCTTTCCAGTAGCGTGGACGGATGAGTCCTGGATTCAGGAATAGACTCGGGAACAGGCATGCTTCATAAATCTTGGGCCTATGTTTCTCAACCAAACAATCACCACATGCTAAATGACAGAGTTGAACCTTACGAGGTAGGAGCAAAAAATGTGTTGTGTGCTTAAGTTTTAAAAAATGTTACAGGGCTGGGGATTTAGCTCAGTCGTGCCGCTGTGTGCCTTGCAAGCACAAGCACCGGAGTTCGATCCCCAGTACCACCCCTCAAAAATAAATAAAAAATAAAAAGGGTATTACAGTAAAAGACACATTGCCATTAATCCCTCTCAAACATCATCCTCTTCACTTTGAACACACTTCTCTCTTCATTCCTGTCAATTTCTGAAGCAGTTCTGTAAGTTCTCTTTCATGGATGTCTTTACAGAATGCAGTAAAACATAGAGTGAATGTTGTTGCCAAGCATCATCGATAGAAAGGCGGTCTTGTGAGAACTTTGGTTTGCCCTCATCCACCTTACTCACTGGATCTGGCACCAGGCAACTTTTGTTGTATAAAAGTGAGAATGATCATGAAAACTAAATGCTTTGAATTAATTGAGGACATTGAGGCAGCCACGACAGTGCGACTAAAGACACTGTGAAAGAGGACTCCAGAACTACATCAGAAAGTGGCAACAACAATGGAATAAGTGTGCTTGAAGCAAGGGGAAATATCTTGAGGGAAGTAAGTAGCGATGTTTTTAACTATAATAAATTTTTAAAATTTGAGCCTTCATCATATTTCTGATCACCTCTTGTACATTTAGACGGGTATTCTATGAGAAGGATTTTCCTGGAGTATTGTGAACATTGATTGTCCCAGTACACCTTTAGAGGTGCCCTAGTGGTCCATGCACATGGTACTCCTTAGAGTAGTGTAGTGTACTGTGTGAGTGTCCCTTTTTATAAGGCAGGAAAGATGCGGACACATAGGCCTTAACCAGCTGCCAAAGCAGAAGAAGCCTTTTCATGTTTATAAAATTCAGTGCCACCAAAGACCACACAATACAGACTACAAGAGAAATGGGTCAAAATGCTTGCTGTAGTCTGAATCTCAAATGTCCCTTCAAGGGCCCATGTACTAAACTTGGTTCCTACACCATAGCACTACTGGGAGGTGGTGAAAGCTTTAAGAGGTAGGGCCTATTGGGAGAAGGTTAAGTCACTGGGGACATGATCTTTTTTTTTTTCTTTATTGGTACATTTTATGTATACAGTACAGTTACATTCATCATTGGGATCTTGTACTTTTACATGACGGGTCTTGGTTCTTATCTTTTTCCCCATTCCCCTAGCTTCTCTTCACCCACTCCACCCTTCAGGAAAATGATCTTTAAGGAGAAATTGGGTCACTAGCCCCATCTTCTTCCTCTCTTTTTTGTCCCAGCTGTCATGAGCTGAGAGTTTTCTTCTACCGTGCTCTCCTGCCACGATGTTCTACCTCGCCACAGGCCCAAAACTAATAAGGCTATATACTGAAACCTCCCAAACTGTAAGTCAAAATAAACCTTTATCCTTTTTAAGTTGATCATCTCTCATATATTTTGTTATAGCAATGGAAAGCTGCCTAACACAATGCTCCACAGGTAGAATTTGGAGTTTGGTCTATCACAAAATGACGGCAAGAATATCAGCCTGGGGGCCAGGGATTTAGCTCAGTGGTTCCACTGCCCCTTGCAAGTGCAAGGTCCTGAGTTCGATCCTTGGTGCAAAAACAAACAAACAAACAAAACCCCCAAAAAACAAAAAACAAAACCCCCAAAAAGAATATTAGCCTGGAAATTTAAAAAAAGTTGAAGAAAAATATGACTTCCCTGAAGTCAGCTATGTAATATCTCAGCAGAACTCCCATTGACCAGCTCACTTGAGCAGTGTGGTTTTCCCTTTAAGGTATTGTGAAATAACACTGAGGTAGAATTGCATTGCTATTTGGGATTTCTGCACATAAGTAGTTAAATTAGAGGCAGTTCCCAAAACTCATGATTACAGTAAGCTTTTCCACTAAAAAAATTGATTGTATAAAATTTGCAATACTATAAATATTCACTCCCCTGAGCATCCCAGTCAGTTCTGCTCATTGACCCTTAACTTTTACGTGACGGAAAAATTGGCATTTCCTCATGTCCATATGTAAGAAGTACATGCCTCGAATTTCTGTGGTGAGTCAAAGACTTTCATGAGATTCAATTTTCACACACACACACACACACACACACATCCAAAGACACATTTTTACCTTTCATTTATTGGAAGAAGTTAAGAAATTGCATGGTAATGAAGCTGAACAATGTGTAAGGTGGTAATGACTAAGGCAATACTTCAGATTTCCAGCTCAGCTTTCACAGCTGACTGAGTCCCCAGGAATGTCTTCACCGAGGGTCAAATCTGCCTTGTGTCAAGCACCATGTAAGTACTTTTCTGACACCAGACTTGGAGTGAGGAGGTAGAGATAAGGATCAAGGAGCTGTGACCTTTGATCTTGAGGCACCCCCAGTCCGGTAGAGGGGTCCCAAAGTCCTTTTTGAAGTTATCCAGCACTGCAGGGTCACCCACGGTGAATGTCCCCTGAGGGGTTCAATCATTTGTGATCCCCATGGCTGAACAGAACTTCCAGGGGAGGCGTGTCCTGAGCTGGTCCAGATAAAGATTAGAATGTGGAAAGCTGGGTCTTACTGAGGAGGGGTGTTTACCAACTTCCTTCTGCTGTTACTTGAATACTCTTGGGCCAGTGCGCTTTGGGGTCTTTCTGTTTCAGCACTTAATTGTTCTCTGGAGAGGTTCTTAGGTTTCTCTCTCCCTAGCACATGTACCCCTGTCTGACTCAGACAGCAAGAAGGAAGAAAGGCAGCCAAACTGATGATGAGCCAGCCGCTCTTCTGTTCAAGATCCAAGCACCAACTCTGATCTCCCACTGACTACCAGGCAGGAGTGATTGCTCACTTCTAATGAAAAAGAGAAGAGGTGCAAAGATTTTCTGAGGTCAAACATAACTGATAAGCAATAAAGACCAAGAATCCAGATAAGTCTGACACTTCCTGTTACTCATGCATAATCAACAGTAGACTAGGAGAGGCTCAAAGGATTGTGTGTCCCTGTGGGTCTCTCTTCACTCCTGGATGGTAAAAGGGAGGCTCTTCAATGTCCTACTGAATCTAAGTGGGGCACAAGTATTTGGGGGGAACTTAGAAGCAGCGATTTCTTAGAAGTGGACAGAAATGTGAAAATTTTCCAGTTTGATACCATGTTTTACAGATGACAGAACAAAGGCCTAGAGTGTAAAAGTGATTTTTTCAATGTTAAATGATGTCTATGTAGTTCATAGCTCTATACACAGTGCCAAGTAAACTTTACATCCATAACCTTCATGGTCAAAAGGCAAATTGGGATATGTGTTTTATTGCAGAATTTCTTCATGTCCATCTGGGCTGAAAAATAGGTAATACTTGAAGGTGGAGGTCAAGGACAGAAATATGCAGAAATATGACAGTTCCCATAAGCTGTGACCCTTGATCCAGTTCTACATAGATCAGCCTTGTCTTTGTGCCTACGTCCACCTTTCTGGATCATTTCTTCTTTTCTAGTCACTGCTTTCCCACTCTTCACACTTCTCTGTCTCTCCACTCTGCCTTCAGAAAAGTATTAGACAGGTTATAGCTTGACAGAAAGGAATTTAAGTCATAACATGGCTTGTGTGCATGTTCATTTAGACTGCTTCTGACCATGAATGAAAAACTTTGTCCTTAACAAAAAGGCTTTAGACACAGCCAGCAATTAGACAGGATTGGAGAGGAGGGGGCGATTTTGAGGGTTGAGGAAGGATGTGCCCTTTGGGAAATATGATACACACAGTAGGGAGCAGCCCTGTACACTAAGGATTATATCCAAGCTGGTCTGCATGTTGGGGCTTAATGCTGTCTTTTAGAAAAGATGTTTTGGTGATGAAATAAGAGCTTGTATCTGTTTGGGGAGCTGACTGCTTTCCTGCAAAACTCCTGACTTGAGCTGGCTGAGTCAGGGAGGAGCCTGTTTGTTAGATAAACTCAGAGAGTTATAGGTTTCTCAAGACTTTGTAAGCTGATTCCACGTGGGAGTATTTCTCTTTCCTTAAATGGATCATTAGAAAAGATTGGATGCAAATCAAGAATTTAATTCTAACCCAACTATTTTCCACCCACACAGATAAGTCGATTCATTTCAGTACAGGCAACTTCTAATAAATAAAAGATTTTTTTCAGCTCTGAGACTGACTTCTCATTGGGACAAGATGAGACTCTAAAGGATTCTTTAAAGGTCCTTATCTGGGCTATGGAATCCAGTATATGACAGTTAAAAAGCACCTGTATACATCAAAGCCTTGAACCTATGTTCTCTCTGCAGTGGTTCACACTGTGCCTAGAGTGAAGACCCGGAGCAAGGTCTACACCTGGCAAGGGAGCATGGAGATGGTTGTGCCTGAGCTGGCCTCAGCACAGTGTCTACAAACTCCTCTTGGATCACTCAGATGTGACCTAGATTCTGGCTCAGGATGATTGGACAAGACCTTGGACAAGGAATTTAACCTTTCTGAGCCTTGCCATCTTCTAGATCCCAAAACCAGGGGTATAGCCAGATGTGGTTGTGCATGCCTAATCCCAGCAGTCTGGGAGAATGAGGCAGGAGGATCACAAGTTCAAACCCAGCCTGGGCATCTTGACCACTTCGCAAGACTTTGTCTCAAAATTTAAAAAAAAAATATATTTTTAAGGAGCTAGGCTGTAGCTTGGGTTCAATCCCCAGTACTGAAAAAAGAAAATAGGGCCACTAACAACTACTTCTCAACCCTTCTATGAATACTACACTGGATCTCCATGTAAAGCCCCTATATGCGGTAATCCTGCTGTGTACTAGTAGTTATTTAAGAAAACTTCCTAATACAAATACATATTTATCTTTTTCTTTTATATAGGAGTAATACATGTATAACATAATGATTCTGGCAAAAAAAGAGGTTATGTTATTTAAATGGTGTGGAATAACTTTCAAAATTAACATTGTATGAATATAAACCCTGACTTAATTCCATGATTTTGCCAAGCCAGAAGCATGGCTGCTTTTAAATTTTTAAAAATAAATACTGTTACATATTACAATGGTTTATTAATAATTAAGGCATTTGCATATATCTCAATGTGAAAAAATTAATATTGATTACTTGCTATGATTTTTTTAGACATTCAGAGTCTTTTCAACATAAGAAAATAGTTTCACGTGCTGAATATTTTCACTTTTTTTCTTTTCTTTTTTTTGGTACCAGGTATCGAACTTGGGACCTTGCATTTGTGAGGCAGGCAGCAGAACCACTGAGCTAAATCCCCACCTCACTTTTTTTCTTTTTGATGTGGGATCTTGCTATGTTGCCCAGAGTGTTTTTTTATAACTCACAATTTAAAAGAAAATTAACAATGATTGGTCTTTGTGGTTCCTAGTAGTAAGTCATGTCTTATTTTTTTCACATAATATAAAATATAT